TTTTGGGCAGCTGTCAAAACAGTTGGGCGACCGCTGCGGGGTCGGTCAGCTAAATTCCCCATTCCGTGATACCTCTGCAACGTAGCCACGACACAGGATTGGGATATAGCATGTCTGCGTGCTATTACTCTCGTGGTGTATCCTTCTTCCCTCAAAGTTACTATTCTAGCTCGTAAAACCTCTGATAATCCTCTTGGCATTTTTTCAATCACAACTTTCCGCGAAAAATATCTTGAATCCCTTATAATTGACTAAATCAGATTTCTGAATGAGCGTAAGCTAGGACTGAAAGCCTTTTTATATGAAAAAACAATTGAACGGGGTCATTGTTTTATGTTCTAATTTATTTTTAAATAAAGAATCTAAAAAGAAGAAAAAATCATAATATAATCTACAGTAACAAAAAAGATTTCAGTTTTTCGAAGTGATCGCAAACTTTTTTTGATGTGTGTAGTTGGAGCAATGAAAATCCGTACCAGCAAGACAAATCCCAATATCAATTCAAGGTTAACCTATGGACAGGCATATTAAATGGAAAAGTGATTGGGCCCTTTGAGTTACAAGGAAACTTAGATGGTGATAGTTATTTGAACTTTTTACAAAATGATTTGCAAGAATTATTAGAAGACATCCCCTTAAGTGATGTACAAAACATGTGGTTTCAAAATGATGATTGCCCAGCTCACTACGCCCGTCCTGTGCGAGAATACTTAAACCAAGAATATCCTGGGCGTTGGATCGGCCGACTTGGTCCTATCTTATGGCCACCCCGTTCACCCGACCTAAACCCCCTGGATTTCTTCTATTGGGGTTGTCTCAAAGACAGGATTTACGCAAAACCCATCACAACATTGGACGAGCTTCGGCAAAAAGTCAATCAAGCTGCGGCTCATATCAACGGTAGAAGATATGCACGACAGACAAAACGATCATTTTTAAGGCGATGTCGTGCATGTATTAATGCTGGTGGCAAACAATTTGAACATTTACTATAGGTAATGTTAATTTTGCAATAAATAAATTAAATGAAGAAATACCATTTGTTTTGATTTATTCAACATTTTTCAGCAACAAAAACCTATTTTCGGCAAATAGTAAAAGTGATTACTATAAATAAGAACAATAATTTAGAATTTTAGTCTTTCTTAAAAATGGTACGAATATTTTTTGCAACATTTTTTTTAAGTACCTGCTTTATTGTTATTCAACAAAGGGCATCTATCTATCTCTTTCTAACGTATATCTCTCGCTATCTTTCTCTCTCTATTTCTAAATTGTATCGACTACGCACATGTGCCATTGAAATTCCAAGAAATTGCATCAAATAATCTTTTTTCGGCACATAGTGAAAGTGATTATTATGAATAAGAACAATAATCAAGAAATTTAGTCTTTCTTAGAAATGGTACCAATATTTTTTTGCGCCTAGTTCTCTTAAAGTATTATACCATTTTGGAATCTTGGTTAGTTGCGTCAATTTTTAAAAATACTTGCCGCAGTAGTGTCCGTACTTTTTTTTTACAAAACGATGAGTGAAAGTCGACTGCAGGTAAAAATATTTCAAAATTTCAAGGAAAAAATATTTTAATGGATTTTTTTTGTAAAATTGCAGGCATTCTGGGAATTTTAAGAGTCGTGGTAGACAGCAGTACTACTTAGGTGGCCGTTAAAATAACAACATCAGAAATATCTGAAAAATTGTGGTTGTGGTGATTTAAAATATCATTAAGGGAGTAAATTTTCGAAGAATAACAATTTTTTTATCGTAATTTAAAAAAAAATGATATAAATTTTTTTTCTTATTTTTCCTCAAGTAGTTATACGCAGGTACCACTCTCCAGCGCCCGCTTATCGTTGAATTTTGGGACACGTTGTATAATTACCGATGAAATTTGATTCCGTTTATTTTGTAATTAGATGTTTTGCTCTTTTTCCCACACCACCGAATAGAACAGCACGGCATTGTTAGAGATATTATCTTTATTACAATAAATACAGAATATTTTTTGGAATACACGGAGACGTACACACAGGTCAGTAGTTGGCCTGTCTATATTTCAGTGCAAACGAGAGTTGATATTTAAAAGAGCTGTATCGCTAATGTGTTACCAGGAATATATGGCCCTTATTTCGTCTCTATTTCTGGTTATATACTCGATGACACCATACCATAAAAAATAGCCAATACGATCCAAGTAATTGGATCGTATTGACTATTTTTTATGGCAAAGTCGGACTATCCATTCGATTTTGTATCATTCTTACTAAACGTTGGTTACTTAAAAATGTAGGATTTCAAAATAGCCTTTCAAATTTTAAAAGTCACCTTCCAAATTTTCATAGAACGGCCGACATTTAGTATTACATTTAACATAGACCAGCCCCGTTCAGGCCTCCGCGATAAATTTATTATACCCACATTTAGCTGTCTGTTCGAGTAATAAACCGCCACTTTGAAATTTTATATACAATAACGAAGGTGTCAAGCAATGTGACTTCACATTTTTGACGCACCGCGTGCACATATTTTCTTTACTCATGTGCCGCGACCAATGGCTGCGAAAGTATATCGCAATGTCAAACATGACCATGGCAAGATCACATCTGAGTTTAAAACATTTTAACAGCTCTGCACGGTAAGGTGAGGAGAAATCGACTGCGATAAATATGTCACGGGGAGGTTTATTATTATCGCATGCGATATACTGCCATGCTACGCATGATGGCATTGAGCTTGGCCTCAACTATCACCTGGCCATAGTGGCGTTAAACTATTCATTGTTATGTTAAAATGAGGAACGACCGCTCCCTCTCGCTTACCTCTCATCGTTTTCTGTATGCTAAGTACCTAATAATGTTCCTCAAAATTTGTTAGCAAATAAATCGAATATTTTTCATCTTTTTTCAGGAAAATTTCTTCTTCTCTCTACATTCTTGGCCTAAGACCAGCCGTCCGAGGAACGTCCCAGAAATGCCAGATCTGCTGCAACCGAAAGGCCAAGCCCGTGTCACTGCCCATCGGAGATCTACCCGCTACCAGAATGGCACATCACCAGCGGCCTTTCACTCATGTCGGTCTGGATCACTTCGGCCCACTCACCCCGTCACCATCTGCACACGCAAAGCCAAGAGGTGGATAGCGCTTTTTACGTGCATGACTGTAAGGGCAATACATCTCAAAATCGTAGAAAAGCTATCTTCAGACTCTGCCTTAATGGCGATTCGTTGCTTCATTGCCAGAAGAGGATGTCCTGCCCGCATTTTTTCTGACAACAGTACCTCTTTCGTCGACGCGGCGAGGATGTTGCCGGAGCTCTTTAAATTTTACACAGATCGTAAAATAGAGTGGTGTTTCATACCACCGTCTGCAACCGTTCATGAGAGGTTGTTGGGAGCGGTTGGTTCGGTCCGTAAAATCTACCATTGCCGTAACCCTGAAAGAGATCTCACCCAAAGAAGAGGTTTTAAACACCCTGCTCCTTGAAGCCGAATGCATCTTAAACGCTACACCTCTCACCCATGTTTCAGTCGACGTGGCTTCAGAGCACGTTATAACTCCATTCACCTTTTTAATTGGCACCTCCAGCAATGAGCCGGTAATCAAGAAGTTCGATGATGCAGATCTCCACAGACGCGCCGATTGGAGAAAAGCGTAGAGACTCGCAGATCACTTTTGGCAACGTTTTGTAAAAAAATGCTTCTCTCCGTAGGGGGCCATACTGGCGACCTGCATCGTCATTTTCTTCACCGTTCTTTTGGCCATTAAATTCGAAATTTCTTGTTCCATTTTTATAATTGACTGCATCCTTCAAAAGTAAAATAAGTGAGAGTGTGAATTTTGCAGCGACCACAACTGGGTTTTTTTCCTCATCCTCAACACCCTTTGTCCTGCCTTCAAAAGGCCTTCAACGTGCAAAGGTTGTTGTTGCTAGTAGATGGCTTAATGAAGATCTATTGTCCCTTTTACATTCAGCCCCTGCCGCTGCCGGCAATAATTCCCTAAATACTGCTGCAGCAGGATCGAGAGGAGTGTGTGTTTACATACTGCCCTACCACTCACTTCGCTTTCAAGTTTCGGCAATGGCAGACGTCGAAATAATTACAGCGGCCGCGCTGTCTCTTTTTGCGATACATAATTATGTTCGATATTTAAAAAGATATCGAATACAAAAAAGAATGTTCATCGTAGACGATGGTGGATGATATCTATCCATCGAAATAGAACTTTGTTAGTACCTAATTATCAACCTACCTACTTAACTAATTTTTTAATGCATATACTAATTCTATTAGTAAGTATGAGTTGTTTATCATGCCTGTCTTTTGTTTCAGGGACGTAATGAATAACTTTTTCAATGAAATGAATAGTGAAGAATCTGGGGAATTTACTAACTTTTGCAGAATGTCTCGTACCGATTTTGAATTTCTGTTGAACAAAATGTTTCTGTTTATGTTGTTTATCCTTAACATCCCAAATGACTTTTTCCGTTTCCAGTAGTTCTAAGAATTTTATTGTAATCTCATTGCTCTATTCGGACGGCATTTTCGATGATCTAAAGTAGTCTTTCTCCTCCAGGCGCTTGGCGAGTACTGAGCGTCGGAGCAGAATGTGAACACGCACTGCCGCTCGCGCTGCCGGTCCTTTGACTTCCGCACAAAAAACCGCCATTTTGGGGAGCGCCGGGCAGCGCGAGTGGCAATGGCAGTGGCATGAGAAGTATCGCGTTTACACACTCGTCCTGCCCACTTCCCTGCTCACTACGGCTGAATGTAAATGAGGTATTAGAAGAGGAGAGGAATACATTTCCCGCCTCATGCTAGAGAACAAAAAAGCTTATGAAGCTGTAGAGTACATTATTCCCACTATTGATGTCATGCATCGAGTATGTCATTGGATTGAAAACGTATATGGAAAGTTAATCCAAAATGAAGACAAAATGAAGTATAGGCTGTATTGCTTGACGCCACAGTCGTTATATATAATTGTAGTACAAAAAAAACCGCCATTTTGGTCAATTGTGGTAAATTTTGGGGCTGGATTTATCTTTTTAATTTGTGGTGTGAATTGTGTGGTGGATTGGTTATTAAAATTCTTTCTTTCTTTGATAAAGTAATTACTGATCTGTGTTCTTTGGCAATTACTGTAGAATCGCCACTAATTGAAACAAACTCTCAACCATTCATCGTGATTTCTTTTCCCTGTTATTAATTCTGACCGGAATAGTTATAGACCAATACATTTATTTTGTCACTGAATTTAAAGATATTTGTATTTTATAAACATTTTGAAAAAAGTGTTAGCTTTGTTTATATATTATCAGGCTTGTTTTTTTAGGAAATATGTCCAGATACGGTGATTGCAAGGTTTATGTCGGTGATTTGGGTAACAACGCGAGCAAACCTGAACTTGAAGATGCATTTTCATATTACGGCCCGTTAAGGAATGTTTGGGTGGCTCGGAATCCACCCGGCTTTGCGTTTGTTGAATTCGAAGATCCTCGTGATGCCGAGGATGCGGTAAGTCTGTTCAATAAACTGTATCACTAATCTAGATGACAAAATAACTAAATAGAGGGTGGGCATTTCCATCAGTACCCCTCAACGACACCGTAGCCCTTGTAAACTACCATGGATAAAGCAAAATTGCATGTAGATTTACAGGATCAATATAATGACAATTTATTACGCCAACTGACTGTTTAGGTACAAGCAGCTAGTGATTGCAGTTGATAAATATTCTATTCACTGCTCTGTAAAGAGCCAAACTAATTTCATTTTATAAGCTTTATCCAGGTACATAAGTTACAAGCTATATTCAGGATTCACAATTTTATCTAAACAAATTCATGAAAAAAAGTAAGTATTTGATAATATTACTTATCACAACTAGATAAGAAAAGAAAATATATTTATTTATTTATTTATTTATTTATACATTTTAGGAAAATTCACGGACAAATAATACAATTATAGTAAACTTAAATATGAGTAATCCAATGCCATTTACGAATTTCCACCTACACCTATATCTTATTATTGTTGGAAAAGTGGGCTTCTCATTAGAGCTCAAATTCAATGTTATACATATAAAGATAGCAAATAATGTGCAGTCAACAGCACATCAAACTATATAATTATGTTCGAATCTCGCCTCCTGTGCAACAGAACAATATCCATTAATTCCCAGATAGACAAATTTGGGAAATTAATTTCCTAAAAGGGTTCTGGTATACTTTTTTTACGGTAGTGCCCCAAAGTTAATAATATTGCTGTGGTACTCATACTACAGAGAATTTCTTACTTACAGACTAGGTAATTAATGTGGCATCAGGTTAGGAGCAAAATTTTTGTAGTAGCCTTGAAGCTTTTTCTAACATGCATTATGTAACCTACCCTATGGATGAATTTAAAGGTGCGAGGTTTAGATGGTCGTACAATATGTGGCCGCCGCGCGCGGGTTGAAATGTCGAACGGTGGACGCTATGGCGGACGCGGGCCGCCACCGCGTTCCCGGCTGCCTCCGCGCCCGTATGACGACCGCTGCTACGACTGCGGGGACCGTGGCCACTACGCCAGAGACTGCACGCGTCGCCGCCGGCGCAGGTAACCTTTTCAACCACCTAAAATAGGCTTTTTGTCAACCATCATTCGTGTTTGTCATGGATATTAAATAATTGGCATGGAATCTTTATGAATTACTGATTCATTAAGTACCTTCTTATACAGAGTACCTTGATGTTTATAATAACCACTGGTAGCAGGTAACTAGAACTTTTATTATTATTAAATAAATTAGTTTTGCTGCTGTTGCACACTGGTTGCAATGTTTAAATTTCTTATTCCACCAAGAAGTCCAATGTGTGGTAAATCTGAGAGACGATGGTGTAATGTAAAGATTCCATTCCTTATTTATGGACCCACATAAACCAATGATAACTATGTTATAGGTTATCATTGGCCTGTGCGCCGAGAACGAACTCGTCAGTGTCTGCACTTCTTATTGTCTGCGCTACGTAGCTTTCACTTCGCGGCGTGAGCGCCGCTAATGTTGGCCACATCTAACTTCGCTCTGCGAACTACGTAGCAGCGTGCACACTTCACTTGTCGCGAACTACATTGCGAGTAATGTTCGTTCTGCGCGTCGCTACACACGTCTAATGTAATCACTGCGTGCACTCAGTGAGTTACACATTATTATCCCATAAATTGTGTTCAAAGCAGGCTTGCTTTGTATATTAACATTTTCAGTTTTATAGGCTCTAAATTTTGGATTACACAGTTCATGTGAGCATATATGGGAAGTAATAAAAGCAATCATATTTCAGCTGATGACATACATGTGACTACAAATAAATTGAGTATGATTTGAGTATAGTTTTACATTAAGGTAGTCCCAGTAGATAATGCTCAATTTTCGAAGATCAAATTATGATATATTCTGTGTATGCTCATCAATCATCAATTCAGTTATGTTTTTCAAAAATACACTTCCTATTGCTGCGCCCTGTTTTATTTCTCAATATTTGTGTTTAATTTTTGTGCACATAGTTACACTTATAGATTTTTCGTATACAACGGGCGCCAGCATAAGATATTGTGTGACCTTTAAATAACGCAAAGACGATATTATGAAAATAGGTACTGAGAGAAAATCTAGTAGGCTGGTATTGAATTAGGCAGCACTTTAAAATTTACCAAAAAGTACCTTTACGAAGAAATATCTGACTGTTAAGGAATACCAATGAAGGTGGCATATCTATAAAGATTAAACACTCTTAAAAATAAAGAAAAAGTCTAGACCGCCAGTTTTCGGTTCAGTTTCTCAACAATCATACTAACTCTTGAAATGATAGATAGATGAAGATAAATCACAGACTCAAAGCACAAGGTAACTGCTAATTCTATAATTCATAACTACGTTATATTTGATCACCAGCATTGTCTTGCAAGATTTATTCCGCAAATTCGGAGCGGCGCACTATGGGAAATTTAGGTCAGTTACGGACTAAAAATCTGTAACTTTTTGTTTATTGAGATGCATTTCAATTTTTTATTATACATAGAGGGAATTACGACGCTTTTAAACGTATGTACATTTTTATTAAACTACCCGTAATTGAGAGACAAAAAAATGTGCAAAATCGTAAATCTCTCGCTGGTAATACTACCCAATTATTTATTTTTTTAAAAATCGAAAATCCATGTTACGGTAATTCTTCATTCATAAAATAAATTAAATGTAATTATAAATTTTACTTAAAATTATATAAAATAAAAAAATAAAAATATGAGACAAGAAAAAACATGACAGCATATTTGTTATTATTTCAGATATCTGTTTTAGACTCTAGCTTCTCTTCTATCATGGCCTATTATTACTGTAATATAATGTCTTTTTCAGAATCAGTGATGAGTTGGTCCATTTTCAATAGACGTAGCGTGTGTTCGTCAAGCTCCTGTCGATTTTTAACATAAGGCTTTCGGTTCCTGGTTATAAATGGATCAGAAGTACAAAGTAACGTGTGAAATACATCTTCATTTGTTGCATATCTAGAGCACTTTCTTGCGTGGTGTAATCAAATTTTTTTGTAGTCTTTATTACGAGATTCTTGAGCGTCTTCTGAAAGTTGTCCAATTGGTAACACTGCAAAATGATTAATTATACCTTCTCCGTGAATGAATATTTTGTCTACCGACGATGGCATGTAATACCAATCATATTTACTGACGTATATTCTTGCAGTTTCCAAAGCATATTCCCCAAATTTTTGAGAATCTATAATTATGCCAGATGATAAAGCTTGAAGGATTACATAGAGTCGCTTTATCAAAATTTCATCGACTGCCGTAATTTCAGCTGAGCAGGCTGCATTATAAAAAACCTTCTCTCAGTGTTACCGTCATTAGTATTACCACCTCCTTGCCGTGGTTTATCAATTATTAATCCACCACTACCGTTTTCTTCCACCACCACACCACACCACAGTTTTCTTCTCTTGTTTCATTTGTTTATTTTCGGCACTCATAGCTGACCATTTTTGAAACGAAAGGTTGTAAAAAATATGCAAAATGATCTCCATACAGCGATTCCAGGCGTGCCCTGTTGATAATCCATAAAGAAAAAACATTTCGTTTTCGGGCCTAGCAGTTACATTTTGTAAATTTTTCATTAGACATGGAGTAGCACCACAAATATTTCATGTTGAACTTGAAGGAGTGTCGGTTAATACCTGAGCTACTTTGCCGTCTATCATGGTCAAAAAAAGTTCATTTTTAACTTATAAAGCTACAAGTTTAGACTCACTTAGAAAAATAGAACGCATACTTCCCGATATGGTGGAAAAAAGATATTTATACCGTTGTACGCGGATAGGCTCCAAGGCAGAGAATCAAATATGAGAAGATTTGAATGTGGAAAATGTAAACGAGTGATCAACGGCCTGCAAAAACTATCGTACATGGGGGGGATTTTTGTGCATTTTTATGAGATACACCCATGTCAATTTCCGCGGGAAGTAAAAAATGTTCGAAATTCAAATAAATAAGATGGCCGCCATACAAATTTCAAAGTCTCCTATCACGGAAACTATTAAGAGATAGGTAGGCTCGAAGGAATGTCATAGAGGGTAACACTGGTCAACTGCCTAGGTTAAAAAAAATTCAAGATGCCGATTTCAAAATGCGGCCGAAGAAAAACTTGCTTCGATCTGGCTGAAAATTGGCATGCGAGGGTCTTTAGGAGCCTTAATCATAATTTGGGGTCAAAAAATTCTTTTCGCCATTTTTTAATATGGCTGCCATACAAGTAGGAAATGAAACTATTTTTCCGGATTTAAATCGCGTATATTTGTTTTTTCAAACAAACCGACGTTTCGGGCCCTTTACAGGTCCCATGGTCATGGTTGACATTACCGAAACGTCGGTTTGTTTGAAAAAACGAATATACGCGATTTAAATCCGGAAAAATAGTTTCATTTCCTATGTGTAACAATCGCGAAAACCTAAAAACTCGATATGCCATACAAGTGTTTTTTTCGTTAAGAATAGCTGTCGAAAGAGATTTGCTCTTATTCGCCTGAAAATTGGCATGTGAAGGCCACTAGAAATGCTGGATAATAATTAGTGCTCAAAAATTTGTTTTTCGCTATTTTCAAATATGGCCGGTCATAGAAGCGTTCGTTGGCGGCAGAAAAAAAATTGCTCAGATCCCTTTGAAAATTGGCATATGGGGGTCTCTAGGAGTGCTTGATAATAATTTGTGATCAAAATTGGTTTTTCGCCATTTTTAAATAAGGCCGCCATACAAACTCTTTTAGCGGCAGATAAAAATTTGCACTATTTCGACTGAAAATGGACATGTCGGGGTCTTTATGAGTGTTTAATAATAATTAGCGGTTAAAATTTATTTTTCACCATTTTTCAATATGGCTACCATACAAACTTTTTTGGCGATAGATACAAATTTCTTCTAATTCGACTGAAAATGACATGGCATCATAATTTAGGGTAAAAATTTTGTTTCCGCTGTTTTTCGATATAGCCGTAATTTATTTATGTAACTTACTTTGCTCGTACTGAAAATTAGCACGAAAAGATTTCTAAGATTGTTTGATAATAATTAGTGGTCATAACATATTTTTGTAATTTTTAAATATGACCGCCAATAAAGAGCTATTTAATTTTTTTTAAAACAAAATCCTAAGTGCCGAGATGCAGGCCGAGGTCCGTGGAGGGCGATGCCCGAAGCGTTCGCATGCCTTCGTACGGAGGTAATTATATACGGAGGCGTGATAGATTACGAGTACAAGATCTCACAATTATAAAAATGTAAGCCATACTTCGGAAATGAAACTATTTTTCCGGATTTAAATCGCGTATGTTTGTTTTTTTCAAACAAACCGACGACGTTTCGGGCCCTTTACAGGTCCCATGGTCACGGTTGACTCAGGTGGTACAGTCTTCAACCAGTTATGTCTAATATTGATGCAAACCATCCTATTTTTTCACTATAGTTACAATAGTTATTAATTAAATACCTTATTTTTTATTTTACAAAGAAAACATTCCAATTTACGCTACATTAAGTTTTACAAAATTAAATGATTTTATTGAATGAATTTTTATTCAATTAATTTATTCATTCGTTATTACAGGTACATGATATAGATCGTAATAATAATTTTATGGAATCTCTGCAATAAGCCAAAGTGGCATACGAAGTCAATTAAATAAAAATGTAATGTCAAAATAAAAATAAAAGAAAAATGGATACAATGCCAAAAAACCAATAATAATTAAAAAGTCTAAAATATTAATAAGTAAATGGTACCCAACTGTCAGCATTTACCTATTCTAAGAAACTGTCATTAAAATATTCTGCTATGCTATAGTAACACTTGTCAATTAATAATTGTTTTAATACATGCTTGAATTGCATTCCACTAAGGTTTTTTATTGCGTCTGGAATTTTATTAAATATTTTGGGTGCCATATCAACAACGCTATTTTTGTATAGGGCCGTTTTACATATATTTCTTCGGACCATATATTTCCTGGTATGAAATGTGCACTTGTGAACTTACTTTTTCTGGAAATTCACTCAAGTTCGTCTTAACAAAGATACATGCGTCAAAGACGTACAGACAATAAAGATGTACAGACATCGGAAGGTTAATAATTTTAGGTCACGGAAAAATGATCGGCAACTGTCAGTGTATTTAATGTTGCATATTTTATTAAGTTCAATTTATATTATTTATATATATATTATTTATATTATTATTATTAAATAATAATAGAAATTAGAATAAACTACCTTTTGATAAATACCAAAACAACGATAATCCAGAACACTCAGACCAAAACAACCTAGAAATGTTCGTTTCTTAAATTGGCCCAAATCGAGAATCGACCTCCTCATCAAGCGCCCATAGTACTAACTGCTGTGCCACCGAAGAACATGAGCACACCCCGTAAACTGAACCCGACCACGCGTCGCAGGCCGAGCCCAACGGGTACAGGGCTCGTACAATATAAAACCAACTGTTTCAAACCGTTTTTGTACACGGAATCTATCATCAATATCCTCGCCGTTGTGTGATCTAATAAATTCTGTAGGAATAACATTTTTGCACATGTGTCTGTAATTTCAATAGCTGATGCAGGTGGGTAATAGTTCT